ACTGAATTCTCGGGTATTGATCTTCTACCGAGAGGTACACTTATCGACGTAGATGATACAGACCTGTTTAGCGAGGATGGTTATAAAATGCAGTGTTTTTGCTAGCACTGAGCAACGATTCCAGAATATTTGGGATTCGTTTCTTCCCCTCTAAATGCAAGTTGTTGCTTGAGGACTGGTCTGCGTCAACACCTGAACTAAGGATAGGGATTAAAGTAGCCGAACGCGTCGACAACTTCACTTGGAAGTCTGATCAGCCCTAATGGGTTGATGTCTGACGGAATCTGTGCATGGATTCAGATAGCTCATTTAGCTTTTTCCAACTTACCTCACCTAGGATAAAGGCGAGATATCCCATCTGTCAATTGAAGGACGAGTGTACAGCGTGGTAATTAATTCTGTTCTACTTAACGGCTACGAAACGCGGCCATTAAGAGTAGAAGATACTCGTAAGCTACTAGTATTTGATCAGAGATGCCTTCAACATTTTGCTCGCATCTGCTGGGATCACCGGGTAACTAATAGTGAGGTTAGACGCAGGGTATTAGGGAATGATGGTAAATTAGTTATTGAGAATGCGAATCCTCATCGACCGAGGCAGACTCTGCGTTCAAAAATCATCTACAAGGCAACTAGAAGTCTTACAAATATAGTTAGATTGGATCTGCTTCGCCATACCGAAACATTAGCCATACATCTGTAAAACCAGAATTGTGTGCGCAAAAGATACTGGAACACCCTCTTCTTCTACCACGGTCTTAATGTCTTATATACATTTTTCTCTTTCTTCATACTTTTCTTCCTTTACAGCCGTCTGCTGTATATTCTACACACCCAGGGGATGACATGGACTGACTGGGAGAAAGGAACGAGAATGATGAGATATTTGCAAATCTACGTGCATTCAACAAAACGGTTATAGATGGCACTATATTCGCCCACAAACGCATACACAAAGCTACAGGGGTTTTACTGGATCACACTACACAGAACCAGATCCATCATATTTGCATCACTAAAAAGTCCATAAGGTAGATGGAAGATGTTTGAAACAGGAGGGGAGCCGACATAGCTTCAGATAAACATCTGGTTGTGGCCAAGATGGGACTGAAGCTAAAGAAACATTGATAATCTTTGTCTTCTAATTACATTATCGAAATTTATAGAAGAGACTAATTGTTTTAAATAGCTTTTTCGCCGACTCAAGTTAAGGGTATTGAATACAGACTCCCGTGTGTGTGAGACATTTATCCACCTCATACGATTGATGAAGGGTTGCGGGAGATCATGAATCGATTTAAGTTGAGCAGTAACACTGTTGAATGCCTGCTCATTGGTCTACATGTTAAGTGTTTGTGTATGAAACCAAGTCTTCGTGTGGAGTCTCACGTTTCGGATTGTGCATGCGCACTGTTCAGGAGTCCCATACTACCACAAAGCAGTCGTCCAGTGCATCTAGGTTTTGAGTTTTATTCTGGTTTACTCTGTTTGTTTATATGAGTTTTAGATCAGTATTTCCTCTTTAACTGTTTCCGGTTTTATGGTCTTTTCTCCTTTTGAAATCGCTGTTTTTGTCTCCGCATGCAAAACGGCGACGAAGTTTTGTACATAAAGTCAGTTCTTCTGAATTTGTGATTTTTGTAATCTATCGACGTGACGTACTTTCAAGAAACTGATCTTCAATGACCTAAGAATTTTGGTAAATCTACGATTTGTATGCATGCCAGTCACATCAATCAAATACTTTATTAAAACACAGGTATATCTGTTCCAATATCCATTTTAAATTTTAATATTATTGAGGGTTTTATAGACATTATTGAACGTGACTTCAGAAGAGAATCTAAGAAGCGCTCAATGAAGCTATCCAAATGACGCATGTGTCATTACAAGAACTCATTTTTCGATTAGGCAGCGGCGCGTTTGATGTCATCATGCAAGAATATTTCCGTAGCACATGATTCCAGTTTAAACGCAGAAAACGATCTAAATCTATATTCCGAATTTGAGGTAACCAGTTCTTTCGGTTCACTTATGTGTGGTGGTTTGTCTCTTGAGTATTTCATAGTTAACGTTATATCTCAGTGACACAAGATCACAATCTCATACACAGATATTTATGGTTCTGCTGAATAATAAGAAATTATGTTGATGAAGCACAACTTTTCGACAGTGAGGCTCGGTCACTATATTGTGAAACGTTTTTCTGGCTCAAACTGTTGTAGTGTACTGAGAAAATTGGTTACTAAATACAACTGTCAGTACTGGCGTTTCAACAGGAACATTTTCGTTGAAATAGCATCCAAGTTCTTTTGGGAAGAATCAAGTGAACATTAAACATTTTCATCATAAAGCCAAAGTGCAATAATGGACGATTGCTCCACCCGGCAATACTGAGTTCGTAAAAATAAGATCTAATCGTCAACGGTCCAGGACCATGAAATAATAAAGACGAATCTTGACTAAAATGAAGTGTTAAAAGTTTGGTTTGTGAAGATTGAGAAGAGTCAGAATATGAATAAGAATGTTCTGGATAAAAGTTAAAATACACACTGAAAACGGGGATAGAAATTCAAGATAGGATAATTGTACTATCGAAAGAGACAAAATCCATTCTGTTACGGACAGTGTCTGGATTAGTAAGCCCACTATAATTAAAAGACTTGGTTCGTCTATTGTTAAGTTAAAAAAGCGAAGCACCATATTTTCTGTTGTAATGTACTCAGCGTAGGAATCAAACGTTGCTTATAAACTTAGTAAACGATGATTACAAGTTACTAAAACGAATAATATAGCTGTAGGTTTTAATTTTTCCCGCAGATATTCTTATGGAACTGTAAACGCGCTACTGGTAACCCTAGAGTCTATGTGAAAGCAATAGTCGGAACAAGGAGAACTTGGCTTTAAACTTTATCTGTCTCCAAACTTAAAAGTATCAATTTGATTAATACAATAACCAAAGGAATTATGGTCATTAAATGGAACGCGCAAACATACTGTTGTGGATGCGGAGGAATAGACCAATAATTATCATGTTAAGTCCAATGGTGTCCTTGGACTTTAAATGGACATTTCCTATTGGTCGATATCTGTTCACTTGTTGAATATTGTACAAAATGTTGTTTTCTATTTTATGGTACGATGTGGTGTGCTTGATTGGTATATAAACAAAGTATGTTTGAAATATAATGATTCATATCTCCGAGGCTGAGTTGTGTTCTGGACTCAACTAACTAGGACAGACAGCGAAGCAGGGCCAATGGAGACTCTAGGCCGTCCGTACGTGTTTACGTGTCATTGGATCGATCGATAAATACGCTGTTCTCTAATCTCTTCAGTCAAGGACACAACAATTAGCACAGGGTAAAAATCGACCGCAACTTAAAGCCATAACACATACCAATCAGTATTGCGTGTTTTATCGAAATGAATAAAATTATCAGTCACACTAATATAATAGGATAATAGTGTCCTTCAGTTGGCAGGTCACCTGCAACAGAGATAGTCCTTCATACCAGATTGACGTGATGGCCGCTTAAGTGACGATTTGGTTGATTAGTTATGGACATAACTAACAACAGCTACGTCGGCGAAACTGATATCATTTAATATAATAAGTCAGAAATGTATAAGTAACACATCAATTTGGACCAATGTATCAGGCAGTGTAGCAGTCTGATTTTGTGCGTCCTCGAATATCTAATCGAACGTGTAGTGACAATTAGTTTGATTCCTATTCGGTTACTCATTATTTCGTTGGAAACGTGCTGAAAGCTTCCTGCAAGCTTAGTACCTAGAGCGATCGCTCCGATCTTGTTATCCTCTGGAGTAAAATAAATTGTCCCGCGGTTCTTGTTACTTAGGCTTTAATTTGACCCTGTCAATGATAAGTGACTGTAGTTTTGGGTTCGATAAGGAGTAGGAAATTGATTGTTAGCGTTTGCCTTTGAGGAAAATTTAATCACAGTATCTCACTTAAAAACCGAAATTCTCGGTTCTATGAAATTTAGATTCAACTGTTTGAGCGGTGGACTAACTCCGATATTCCCTTTGCCCCGTGAATGAAAATATCTACTTAGTGTGTAGGAATAGCGCGAATTGGACATACATTGAGAAGTGTTCACCCCCCGAATACGTTGTGTTTAGGACTTAATGGCGATTGTATCTATCGTACGACTTCTAAAATCTATAGGAAAACTGACTCTGTTGAAGAAACTGAGGGGTGAATTGTATATCGGCTGCGTCATGGTAGAGAGTGAGTTGTTCTCGAACACTATAATCGCATGGAGGTTGCTGTATGGTGCCTAGGAGTGCCTTATCTAGAGTTAATCTAGCAACAACCTTTGCTGTGTAGATGTAATAGATGTAGCTTTCGGTCATCGTATACAGCAGTTGATCACAAATGCCACTACGTAAAGACCTTGGATATGAAGCAAACAGAAAAGAGTATCTGCAAACGATAGTGAGATAATACTTTTAGGCATTACGAATGTGAGGATCTATTAGAAACACTTCAGCCTGTAGAGAATTTTAAGAATTGATTAGTTCTAAAGAATAGAATATACGTCTGTAGTCCCGTTCGCTATGCTTTACTTTAAATTTCTGAGCATTCGTCCTCAAGGTTTGGCTATCAGGACTCAGTAGCTAAGTGAATAACGAGATGGTATTTGAAGCGAACAGTAATGTGTCTGAGGTGAACATTCCTCAACTGATTTCGTAGTACATCTTCGGACGCGCTTCAGAGCATTCATGTCCTTCTAGAATGAAGGGACACTTCACACATTTCATATGACTGGTAGGATTAGCAGAAATCCACTGCTTCCACTCAGTATCTCCACAGGTGACAATTGAGTTTTGTAAAGTTTAATTAAACTGTCATAACAAGTAGCAAAACTACATTGGATACCTCAGTGAAATGTAAATTGAAAGAGAACTCTGTATCTTGACGCGGGCTTTCCGGACCACTTTGAGCGGTACATGTGACCCCTTGGTTTGCAAAGATGGGAAAGAAATCGAAGAAAAATCGTTTCAATCAGAGCGTAGATGTCGACATTGTGTATTCAAGCAACACAGTATGTGAACGTTTGCTCTATAATACCACTCAGATAGCTGAAATGGACCCAACAGACAACCTAGCAGAGCTCAATTTATCGTCTGAAAAGGCTGAAGAACTTCAAAAAATCAGAGCAAAATTGCCAACATTCACATCAACATCTTCAGTTGAAAGCGAACTGGCGAAGCTACCTATGGAAAAGCCTTTTAGGGCATTTGTTTACAATGTATCGTATTCAGCTACAGAACAAAACGTCGCTGAGTAACTTTTTTTTATCTCACGTCGTACTAACTTCCCAGTTTTTTCTCCCCGCTCAAGGTTACAAACATTAATATTGTCGGTGGGGATGGTGGGTCTCGTGGTTTCTGTTTTGTTGACTTTGCAAGTCGAGATGACTTAGCAAAAGCTCTTGAACGCTCTGATTCATCTCTGGCTGGTCGACAAGTCAATGTCCGCATTGCTGCTCCAAATAATGTAAGCCATTGAACTATCACACTGGGATTTGCCATGGCCCTATATTTTTCAGTTCTGATTACCGTTTCTTCACACACGGTGTTGGTTTTATCTACATTTACGAGTTCCAATAATTTTCAAGTTACATGATAAATTAGTTCGGACGACTAGGTCTGTAAACTTGGATGTCACAAGGCTACTCACCGTTTTTAACTTTATAAGTAGTAACATAAAGTTCTTATTTAGACGTAGATCATTAAGATTTGTAAAATATATTCACAAGTTGGTCGCACTAATTCTGTTGCAATCTAGATCTTCATAGAGCTCCCATAAAATAACGCTTTTCAGTAGACGCTACAACTGAAAACTGACTTGGCACTTTTGTCGGCATCATAAGTACATGATACTGTTCGACTGTTATCTTACATTTAGGGTTTACTATTATGTGCGAATCATAAACTCAATTAAATTTTAGTTGTAAGTAAAGAATCCTGAAGTATTTTGTGCTAACGTCTTGCAAACATGTTTACTATACGGTAAGTTCAGGCTACGTTGATCTACTGAGCTTTTCAAATCTCTTGCCTTAATGTTCCCAAGACTTTGTATCAATTTTTTTCAACTTCAAGGGGTTTTTGTTAGTATTCTTAGTAGTTTGTCGCACAATTCGTTTTAATTGTACATACAGACAATAACATCATTCCCTAGTTTCCGTAAGTTGAATTTTAATATTAATTCCCCGAGTTTCTCTTAAATCCTCTTAAGAATCATGGGAAATTGATCTTTAAGAAAGACTAGGCATTGTGTACTCACTGCCATATCTTGCCCTTGCAGACAACTTCAATTTTATCTAAGCAACCGTTAACTTTAAGGTAACTTCAGGTAAGACAATTTAACGGTGCTCTTGTTCAAGTACTACCTTTTCGCTTATTTAAAGTCAAGTTTATGACGAACTAGTAGTAAAGCCGAAAAATCTCAAGTGTATCTCCATTGAATTTTGAGATTGAAGAACTTATATAATCACATGTAATTGGTAGAATATAGCTGTGGGGTTCACTTCTTTGACAAATTTTAACCGTTAATCCCATAGGTTAGCTAGTAATTAATATATATTTCCTCTCAAACTTAATCTAAGCCCTAAATTTGTATGGTCTCTTATATAGCTCAACCTTTATTATTCTTTCCCATATTCTGCACCTATTATAATTACGCCGTCGATATTATTACTTATTCACTTTTCATCACGTTCGTTCTTACTGTTCTTCGTAGTAAGGAAAACCGACGTACCTCTGCAAAGTTCTACGTTGTGGAGTGATCAGATTTTAGCCATCCATAAACGTGATTCTCGTCATAGTGTACTGCTATCACCGAGTTAATCTTCCTAATTGCCGTTCAGCTTTGATAATCCCAACCATACCAGGTCACTTTGTTGAATAAGTTGTTGAGGATTAAACGATGTGTTTCCAAGTGAAGTCACGTCTAAAAAATGTCTACACTATTACAGTCTCAAATTTTCTCGCTTTTAAAGTTATTGGTCATTTAAAAAGGACTGCTGATGATTATTCCCGGTCTCCTAAAACCACTCTCTAAACCATACGTTAGAGCTTCTAATGTTCAAACCTTGTGCAGGATAGAACAACAGGCTCCTTTAGCTAGAACTCGTGCTATAGATGTATGCTGCGTCTCCGAAACATGCATACAGGATACAAATACGCTCATTGATTTGGTCGTGCCTTGTCAATATAAAGAACTGGCGAGATTTACCTTTCGTGCATTTGAAGGTTCCACTGCTACTTCCCATGGTCTTGCTGGTGTAGGTATACCTTTGAGCTCAAAATCAGAACAGGCTCTTCTAGTCTGACTGAACACGATGAGGAGCGAATGGAGCTTAAATGTAGGCTGATAAAGGCCACGTAATGATCGTGAGCAGGCGTGCGTAGCGAAGTCAAGAGGTGAAAAAAGCAGCGATAGGTAACACCAGATAACTGTTCATACTTATCGAGCAGACGGTACTAAAAGTCCGGTTGATAGCGCAACCATCTCGGAAAATGTTAGTATTATTACTCAATATCAATCTAGGATGTTCAATCGATGGACAGTTTAGTTGGCCTTCAGCCGCATTCCAGTTACCCACTATCTCCTAACAACCTTACTGGCAGATTGACGTAAGTTCTCCAACTCTTAGTGAGGTTGAAAAGGCTGTAAGTAATTTAAAGCGAATAAGGGAAGCAAAGCCTGATGAATTAGCCTTTGAAATTCTTAAGGATAGTGATCCAATCTTAGTGGTTAGACTAGCTGAAATCTCAGCTAAACTCAGGGAATTCGAAACAATCCCACCTGACTGGTCTCGATCTCTGAGTCTACGTCCACAAGAAAGGACATAAATCCTCTTGTGACAATCACAGAGGAATTAGTTTGACTAGTATAGAGTCTGAAACATAATCCCAGATAGTCCTTCGATGCCTAACCAGAGCTCATGAAGAGCAAATCTGAGAAAACATGGGTGGTTTCAGACCTGGATGTGTAGACTAATTACTCAAAGTCCGTCTGGTCGTGGAACACGGACATATCATCCCGATGTCCGACCACAGGCGTGTCCTATGACCTTGAGTCGACGTTCGACCCCGTTGATCGCGAGGTCTTGTGGCAGTCTGTCATTAAAAGTCGTACCAAGAAAGTACACTAACCCTTTAAAAGCCCTACTCGAACAGTATTGATTGAGTCGGAGTTTGTGGAGAACTTTCGTCGGAATCGGTTACTGCAAGTGGTGTTCGTCAGGGTTTCCCGATTTACCCATTTTGTCAAAGACATGCCTTTGAAAATAACACTTCCATCGTCTGGCTTTTCAGCGATAGTACTCCTACCAGATGATGTAGTTCCGTTTGATGAAGACGCTAACAAACTAGTCTTTTGACCACCCTAAGTAACAATGCAGACATCTTCGAGATTCGGCTGTTCCCATCCAGATGCAAAATGTCGCCCCAAGATTACTTTGCCGCGGTGTCTGAATAAATCATAGGGAGTAAGGTTGTTGAGCCCGTCGACCACTTCACTTAAAAGTCTCACCGGTTCTCTTCAGAGACATGAATGACATGGCTCAAAATCACTTGCAATGGTGCAAGTTCTAGGCTTTTTTTGTAACTGTTCGTTTGTTTTTATTTCACTAGTTTATTTTCCTGTACTAGTAAGGTATAGCAAATGGGGTCGACTGTATATGCGTACCGTGTTCTAAGTTGCGACTGACTGGACTTTCTTGCACACCTTATTAAATTAAATATTCACCTTGACAGATAAGTACCTTGCGCGCATTTTATTCACAACCTTAAGTCTCCTACTAATGCTTTTCGGTCGCATCAGGTGAATCAGTATCTCCAGGTGGTTCTACACAGACTAACAGAATGCTAATCAATGTCTTCCCGTTATTAACTAGTTTCTATACATTCGAAAATAAGGCTGTTGTTTCACTGTCAAACATTGACTCGATGTTGTATAATGTTTTCTTTTTGTCATAGTCTGAGCGAGGTGGGTTCGTACGTGAGAAGAATTATTGCTCTGGGATGCGTCGTAGTGAAATGGCTTTTGAGCGCCAGCGAGGTGGCTACAGACCTGTCGCTCCTCGGTATGTGGTAATATGGTCAATGAAACACTTAGTTTATATGTAATTAATTATTTTGTCGCTCTGACCAGTTTTCATAACGTTTACTACCTACTACTCAGAAAATTTTGTTGATAAAAACCATGATATGATCGATGAATTAAGTGAAATCACATTGACTTTCTGTGACTAGGGACAATCAACATAAAACCTAGAGACAAAATCCTACGAGATGTTTATGCGACCTAAGGGATACGTCGAGGCAAATAAAGTGAAGTCACATCTTTTCTTGAACACACAATGAGTCGATGTGAAATGGTTGGTCTCTTTTTATAACGTCTATAATTCCAATGAGAAGACAACTGACCTGAAAAATATGGCACTTATCCTACATTTCGGACAATCTAGTAACATTTAATTATCAAAAAGTTTCCACATGAGAATTAGAGACAGTCGGATAAATAAAATGTAGTAACTGACAATACAATCAGTGGTTGACTTTGAGGTGAGACCGTGAGTACGTTTTAAAGTGTTAAAAACAATCCAAGCTAAAGTAGTTGTAAGCTCAAAACAATTGTTTCGATAAATATTGATTTGTTTGGAAGACATGACCATAATCTCATTAGCGTCTAGACAGCGTCGGGAAGCAACTTTATGGTAACTTGAACTGGTGCACACTGTGCTGGGTTATAACCACCTAACTAAACCGAAATAATGATTCTCACCTCAGTAACGTGAAAAAAGTACAGGTTGGCTGAAAATTCTAACGCGTCATTAAAGGGCAGAAAAAACTATGCTCCATATTCACATCTCAACTGATATATAATAAATTTGTATAACAAAAGATAATGGCACTTTCATAGCTATTTGTTTTATATTTTCTCACCACAATACCTCCTTAGTTAATTTACCCCCTTCTATCTCATCATATTGATTACCGCTTATATATCTAAACAAGAAGCGTCCCCTATTTTGAGCATGCTTCACTAACTTTGTTTATACATTTAGAGATGATAGTGAAGATGTCGAATCAATTTGGAAGAGAGGTTTCGTCAGTCGTACAAGCATCTTTGGGTCACCTGGGTTGACACCACTAAATCAAGGTCAGCTGTCTTTGGAGCCTAACCTTAAACCAGCTGTAACAGGAGAGCGACCGAAGCTTAATTTACTACCTCGCTCTGCACCACGAGATTTAAATGAACTATCTGGACGCAACTCAAAGATTTTTGGTGAGGCTCGACCAGTAGATACGGCTAGTAAAAACCGTGAAGTTGAGCAGCGACTAACTGCAACTGATCAAACTAGTGTATTTTCTACTAATCCTTAAACTCCATTTCTGTATTCTCATGTTCCACATACAGTATTTCCAAGTGTTTAGAGAATACTGTGTATCAGACAGGGTGACACAATACAACATTTTCTCCTTTGTTTCCACTCTGATCTTATAAATGTGAACACCTTACAATTAAGAACGTAATCTAGGGTTTCTCTATCAACACATTTTGTAAAGCTGTATCGTTAACTTTCTCGTACTTCCACTATTTTATCGCTAATTTTTTCTCACTTTGAACTTGGCTTTGTTCATGCATTGATATGGGGATACAATTGTACTTCCTGTGTTAGGAAACAGGTGTCACAGAAAGGGAGCTTCTGAGATTGACTATCAGATTTGTGCGAATGCCGAACACATCTAAATAACAAACATACCGTTGTGCTTTTGCCATACGATAGTTATTTGGGCTTTTGTTAGGAAAATGATTAAAAACACTTGGACCGATGCTTTCTGATATATCACGGAAGGAAAAGAGGTTAGCAATCTAACTAGGAGGTTGATCTAATAAGATAACTGGTCAACTTACCACTTAAGGGACGTTTACTAACACGTCCAGTTCTGTACAGTGTAAGATACAGTTCTTTGTTTCTGTGTAAAATGGTTGCCCAAAGTCTACGGCATTCGACTTAACCACTAGGTTGGAAGATCGGATTTCGCTCTGAAAAGTTTGGTTTCGAGCATTTGTGTATACAAACATTGCAAACAAGGACCAAGTACATGAATTTTACTAGATTTGTAAGTCAAAAATGAGATGAATAAATGCAAAGAAAAACCATCTGCTTTTTAAGAAATTATGGACATCCCAAATAATACGGGATGTCCCAAAAGGATATTCACAGTAATCCCGATTCTTATTGTCCCGCAAGAAACATCCCAAGATAATTCCTGCCATTGTTATTCCGAAGTACTTGCGTGATTCGACGTGTTGTAATAGTTCCTAAAATTTCTGTAGGAATTTGTTACAAATGAACTGGATGAAGCGTGATAAAGAGCAAGAACAAAAATCCTAACAAAACACCATGTATTCACTTTATTTCGTTGATTCTCGTCAGCTGTTTACAAACTTATTTAAAATCAATTACATAATGGGTTTAATTTGCTTACACAAAAGGGTCTAGTTGGAAGTTATATTGAAGATACATTAGTATAGTACAGCAAGGGTGTAAATAGAATGGATGGTGTAAAAGAATATTCTACAACATTGATTGTGACAACGGTTCAAACGATCAAAAACAAGTGATTACATAATGAGTAAGCGCTGATAGGAATAAAATGAGTAGAGCTCAGTTGACAAAATAAGGTTGCTAATCCGAAGATAATTGAAATAAAACTCATACAATAAATGCACGAGAGTTTAAAAATAATAATAAGATGCAGCGAAGGAATATTTGAAACCAAGGCAAGCAAAGATTAATAACCATCTCTTTTTGAATACATGAGTCAGGTTTTTGACGCCTAATAGCAATGGCTGCTCACTAATCACCATCAAGGATTGTGGGGTGTCAACCTGATCTAAGACATGCCCTACTTTCTGTTCGGTCAATGTAGCTGCCTTGACAGGTACACATAAATTTATAGATACAGTTGGCGGTAAAATTAAAGGGGTGTTTGTTAACCTTTGACTAAGTTACTGGACATGATTTATACTGAAGTAAAAGCTTGGCTGGCGTAGTGTTCAGTCTCCTGCCGATTATGTTTGCGACATCATATTTGAAGTTAAGATTTACAGACATTGGTTTTTTACTGACCATAGTTATTCCCGTCTTGTTTTCTTTAGGTTTTTTATATTGGTCAATAAATTTTTGCGTGTGACAGTTGTCTCTTAGGCATTTTTGCACGTTCATCAATTCTTCCAGTTTGTCTTTGGTACGCATCCTTTTTACGCTATAAAACAGTATTTCAACCAATGCCTTCTTTTAGCTGATTGGACAAAAGCTATTGAAATCCAGGTATAGGCCATTCCATGCACTTTTTAGATAAACAGAACGTTGAAATGTCCCGTCCCCTCTACATTTTATGGCAACGTTAAGAAAGTGGGACACGTCGCATTCTGTTCGTGTTCCGTAGTAAATTGGATGTTAGGATGAACATTATGAAGTTTCGGCAGGCTGATTACATGCTGTTTATTGTTACAGACAATAAACGTGCCATCAACATATCTGGAGTATTATGTCGTCTCGCTAATCACCTGTTTAAGCACCGCGTTTCCAAGATACCTTATAAATATATCTGCCATAATTTGACCTAGTGTTATTAAACTGGAACTCAACATCTGTTGTGCACATCAGTAGTAGTTTTTTTTGAATTCTTGGGCTGGTAAAGGTAGATCCTATCCTGACAAAATATATGAATAGTTTAAAAAGGTATGCTGATGAACAAGGGTGCTACATCAAAAGGAAACGTGAACTCATCGGCAACATTCGTACGATTTAGCTTATCAGCAAACTGGAACGAATCTCTTAATTCATATGTTGCTAATCTCCGATGAAACGGTTCTAGTTTTGGGATGATAAAGGTCTAGGTATCGTCCTGATGAATACGGCTGGTTATATCACTAAGACGAAGTCAATCCTAGACGACCAACTGAGATTCAAGATGAATGAATCCAAAAAAGATTTAACTAATTAAAAAGAAGAACGAACCCGAGCTCCCAAGTTTGGGGATATTTTAAGGAAAAGATTTAAGGTTTTTCCCCAAAATGGGTCAAATTTTCCCCAAAATTGAGAGCTTGGGTCTTTGTTTATTTTCTTAATCATTCGACCTGATTCCCCGGGTCAGTAAGTACTTTCTGTACCTGCGGTTACGAACCCGGTTGTAAAAAGCGGTCATCACCGAATCAAGGTCATATAATTCAAATGGTTAAAATGGTTGTGGACGGAATAGAAGAAGCTTTCGCTTAACAGGCTTCCGTGTCTAGTAGCAGGGGATCACCAAATCCTCCAGACAGGAACCTAGGTATGTTAACAATAAAAGAGGAAAAGAAATTGGTAAATCATAGTGTGATGCTGACCTCGGTCCTTAAGAATAGGTCAAGTTGCCTCTTGAAGGACTCCTGAGAAGTCGCTTGGACTAGCTTGGCCGGCAGCGAATTCCAGCTTTTGACAACTCTTAAGGAGTAGAAGTTGTGTCTACATTCCGTCTTGCTATGTTGTGTCTCCAGTTTCTGGGTGTTACCCCTTAGGTTATTATTCGAACTAAGCTTAAGTAGGTGTTTAAGAGGATGTCCAGAAGTGTTAAGAATACTATAAGCCATTAATAAATCACCTCTAAGACGCCTATACTCTAATGGGTAAAGGTCTAGTGAATGGAGGCGTTCTTCGTAAGGTTTAGATTTGAGTCCTCGAACTGATTTCGTGGCTCGCCGTTGGATACGCTCCAAAGTGACCTTGTCCTTTTGGAGTGAGGGAGGAAATACTATGTTTTCGTACTCTAAACGGGGACGGATGAAACTGTTGAAGATTGTATGGAAAGTTCGTCCGTCAAACTGACCAAAAATGCGCTTCAACGTTACCAGTGCAAGGTTTGCTCGGAAGGCATTTTTGTCACAGTTAGCGTAAGACTTTAAATCATGGGGCACCAGGACTCCACTTGGGATACTACTAGAGAGGAGTTTCCTAAGTTGTAACTGTAGTTTGCGACATGTCGCAGATGGACTACTTTACACTTTGAAGTGTTAAAGGTAAGTCCGTTATCGTCTGCCCAACTTTGAAGTCGAGTCAGATCCTCCTGAAGTGCCTGTATATCATCTTGGTTGCGTATCTCTCTCTCCAAAGTTTCACGTCGTCGGCAAAAAGTAATAAGTCTGACGTTACCTGTTGAGGAAGATCATTTATGTAGATCAAGAAGAGAAGAGGCCCTAGTACTGAGCCCTGGAGGACCCCACTAGGACATTTCATAGCCTGAGATAAAGTGAAATTAACCCTAACCTTAAAGTGTCGATTTTTTAGGTATGAAGCAAGCCAATCGATCAAGGTGGTTTGATACCTAGTCGTTTGAGCTTATTGATAAGACACAAGTGGTTAACCTTATCAAAAGCTTTTGAGAAATCAAGGTAATTGATATTAACCTTTCCCTTGCGATCGAGGATGCTTGTCCATCTGTCCACCGCAGTCAGCAGGTTGGTTATACAAGAGTAACCCTTCCTGAAACCATGCTCTTGGGGTGAGAAGAAATTTAAGGACAGTAGATAGCCGTTTAAACCGTCGCATATCAGAGAATCCATGAGTTTTGAAGGTAATGACAGAAGAGCCACCGGCCGATAACTTGAAGGTTCATTGCGTCGACCACCTTTGAAAATTGGTGTGATGTGAGCCAACTTCCAGTTTTCCGGTAATTTGCCTCGGCTTAGCAAGGTGAAAACATTACACTAAGCGGCGTTGCCAGGATTGAGGCTGCCTCCCTCAGTATGGCAGGATGAACCATATCCGGGCCAGGAGAAGTATCGAGTCTTAAGTGCTGCAATTTCCGGAACACCAAGTCAGCACTTAGGTCCACTTCGGAAAGTCCTGTGGAATTGCAGATGAAACTGTTGTCAGTAAAGTTGATGTCAGCCGGTTGAAATGTTTGAGAGGAATGTGCCGCCACAAGGTTAGCGGCGTCGCCATCGTTGTTGGTCGGGCCGTTAAGACCTAGCAGTTGAGAAACTCCTGTTTTGGTTTGACGAAGAGAGGCTGCATAACGGAATAGGCTTCTAGGGTAAGAGGCGAATTTGTCCATAAGCTTTGTTTGGTACTGAAGCCTGTCTTCTCTTATAGCCTTCGTGCATGTGTTCCTTATATGTTTATATTGCCTATACGCCCCGTAGTTATCAGTTCGTTTGTATTCCGCCCAACAGTGCCGTTTGCGGCTTAGCAGGCGAAGGGTACGGTTCTTGATTACTGTAGGTGGCTTGCAGCTTTTGGGAACCGTTTGAGGAACTGAATGGTTTGTAGCACATAAGAGCGTGTGCAGTAAGAAGTCCCAATGACCGTCCACATCGAGTTGAGGGTGAACAT